TGCTTAAATTCTTACCCATTTATTACCCTAAACCAATGTTATTAGAGGTGCGACTAAGCGCTCGCCTAAGCGTGAAGCGAGGCAAGGTGACGCTTTACCGCTTCATACCCACTGAGGCGAGGCGAAATAGTAAAGCGAAGTCCAAGCGCATGAAGCGAAGCTTAGGCGTTGAAACGAGAGGCGATGTGAAGCGTCGCTTCACCATTTTTTGTCTGCTTTCAGTTCGAAAGATCAGGGCCCTTGATTTGAATGACTTTTGTGCTATTTGTGGACATGCATTGCACTTTATAATTGCTTTCTACTAAATAAGAAGTCAAAACCCTAGTCGACATCGTTCCAGTCGAAAAAGGAGATGAGTACCTGCTTCTTCTTCTTCCTTTCTTCTCTTCGTCTTCTCCTGTTGCTTCTTTTTCCTTTTGTCTTCGTTTCTTCTTCAAACTCTTTTTTTTTTCCCCTTTTTTTTTTTAATTTCTTCCCTAGTTCTTGTTTTGTTTCTCTTTTTATTTATTTTGCTGAAAATTTTTTCAATTAATTTTACTAAATTGATTTTACAATTGTTTAATTATTTTGTTGTGTTATTTTACAATTATTTTGTTATGTTAATTGTATAATTATTTTGTTGAAAAAATTACAATTAATTTTGCTAAAACACTATTTTTCCATTATTACCTCTGCTAAAAATATGTTGTTCTTTAATTTCTTTATGCTGAAACTGTTGGTGGATTGTATTTGTCTTTGTTGGATATTTTATGTTGTTTATGGATATTTAGCATTTGGAATGATAAATGCATGATGGTTCTTGAAAATATTTATATATTTGTCTATACTATTTATTTAAAAAAAAATATCCTTTGTGGTTGCCTTGATTCGATGAACCCCTCACCTCACCTCGTCGCCTCGCGCTTAGGCGTTAGGAGACCTTGCCGCCTCGGTTCGCTTTTTGCCTTAAAAAACACTGCCCTAAACAAATCCTACTTGTCCTGCATCATCAATATAACAATGCATGTGGGTTTTTTAAAATGTCTTCAAAATGTATTAGAGATACATTAAGTTTAAACAGTTGACCTAATAATTGTTTCTTTATATATGACATTGACATAACACATATATAAACTATGGTTGTGTTTGGTTTGTGTTTGTAGAGTAGTTTTTGAGGTAAAAAGTACGAAAACTTGTTTGGTTGGCCTTTTTTCAAAAATTGTTTTGAAAAATTGTTTTGGGGAGAGTTTTAAAAAAAGTGATTGATTTGATGTGTATGAGAGAGAGTGATTTTGAAAAGTAGGTAACCAAACAAAATTTTGAAATTTTTTTTGAAAAAATTTGTTTGGTTTGATTACTCTTAAAAATTTGTTTGTGGAGAATTTTTCCCAAAAATTTTTCTGAAAAACAAACCAAACAAGCCCTATATATTTTGTGTATTCCCCCAAGTCATGTTCTACATTTTTTTTTAAATTTTCGCTTCCGGTGTAACTACGTACTTACCAACATTGGTCCATGTCAAGTGTCCGTGTCCATGCTCCTTGGGGCAGGAGAAATGAAACCCAAATTCAAAACATGTGTCTGTAAATTATGTCATCCATCTAGCTATCTCAACACCTCCTTTATCATAGCTTGCAACTAACTTTGCACATCAAAGGCAGAACTACACTGAAATTAGCATGCTTTCCATTATGTCATCCATCTAGCTATCTCAACACCTCCTTTATCATAGCTTGCAACTAACTTTGCACATCAAAGGCAGAACTAAACTGAAATTAGCATGCTTTCCACAAACTATTTTCACTACAAAATTACATGATTTGACCAACACCACCTCTCATTGGCCACCCTCTCACTTGTTTTCAAAACAAGTTTTTGAAACACATGTACCAAATGTGTTTTTTGTTTCCATTTTTATAAATAAAAATTAATAAATAAATAAACATAAATATGTTTGATGTATTCTGTAAACAAAACTAATAAATTGTAAACATTACCAAACTTGTTTACAGTTTGCTAATGAGATTGACTTTTGAATGGTCATAAGTAGAGATAAGTTTGACACTGATGGGTCTCTCATCGAGCTTGCCGAACTTTCCATCAATAAACCTGAACTAGAGCTTGTAACATTTGATGATGAATCAGATTTTCAAAGAGAAGCTACAATGGAAGTTCAACCTGATCGTGAAAACCTTGTATAAGAAGGTTATGACATTGACCTGGACAAGCTACAAACACTCGGGTTAATTACACTTAAGACACATACACTTTCACTATAATCTCACTTTGATCCCTTCACTTTCAATTGTGACAGTCAATATCTAACACTTTAAGTCAAGTTGCAATGTCACCCTTGCATCCATCTACCGTCAATAAAGTTGATGGAACTTGTCATGCACTTTCATCAAAATCTCACTTTAGTCCTTACACTTTTCATTAAAAATTAAAATCTCACTTTGCTCTCTTCACTTTTAATTTTCGTCAACCTCATTAATGGTAGATCAATGAAAGAATGAATTTGCAACTCAACTTAAAGTATAAGGGGTTGACCGTCACAATTGAAAGTAAATGGATCAAAGTGAGATTACGGCAAAAGTGCAGGGGTGTTAAATGTAATTTACCCATGTGATTGAAGAAACTTAACCTTTAGACTTTTGCTATGATGATATTGTTCATATAAAGTACATATTTTGTAGAAATGATCACTCCACTTGTATGGAGTTGATCAATGTAAATCTGAAATGGATCATCTATTTAAAGTTAAAGCTATTTCTAAGATAATATTTATGACTCATCAAAATTTACAATAGGTTGCAATCATAGAATAGGTGTGGTTCGAAGTCATAGACAATTTAATTGACCAAGCATCCACAACCTTCTTTTGTCTTATGCTTAATTAATACACAATGATTCATTTATTTCATCAAATATAGCCTAAACTGATGTTGATAAGGAATTGTGCACGTAAAATCGTGACCGTGTGAATTGTGGGAGGACTAATCGGGTTCACAATAAACTTTTTGTGGTTAATTGTCTTTGTTTTAAACTTTTAACTATCTTAGTAATCATACTGATGTTGATGCATATATTATAAAGTTTTGAGGTTTATGTCAATTACCACAAGTACAAAAGATGCTCTCAACTTAACATGACATTTTTTGGGTTAAGAATCAAGTTTCCTTATCGTGAGATTCCTTTCTTAGACATTATTATCTCAATGTATCTTGTTTATTGCAAGTTAATAAAATTATACTTTGCCAATCAAATATATATATATATATTTCATGTGCCATGTGTCGTATCCATTTCTAATTTTTGGACACTTTTTAGCAAAGTCCCCTTAACCTCTTTTTCGAGGGATTGACCAATCTAACACTTAGACCCAACACCCACACCCACACCCACACCCACACCCACACCCATCCACCTAACATATACTAAGGTTCACTGCAACTCTACTTTTTTTACTGAAATTTATACATAAAGAACAATTATAGTACACTCCATTGTTTTCTAGCCCTCAGAGAATAAAATAAACTTCAATAACAAAGACAACTGAGCTCTGACCACAAAACCACACCAACATGAATGCCTAAACCAGGTAACAGTATCATATCCTTCTAACAATTTCACAAATGTAGCAGGATATATGGGCGATATTTCAAGCATCAAATTATTTACTACTAGCTGATAGATTTAAACTGATGGCTTTAAAACTACAACTGATTAGCGCACACAAACCCACAAACACACACAAAACGACAAAAACTAACTACAACGCGTTTGTGGACTTAAGGGACAATTTTATAGCAAGGAATTCAACAAAACAATTTTAATCAATCAAATTCTTTTTACATCCTTGGGCCACATTCTTTTTCTTTTGTAAGTAATCTTAACCCACATTTTGTCAAAATGGAAGATAACCATGAAACTTCTAACTCCTAAAAATCCAAATTTTGGCTAATCATATAAAAAAATATTGACCCAGCACCAAAAGCACAGAAGTTAGGGATATTATGATATGACTAAGTCTTGTCTCCACATGGGCATAACCAACAACACAAACAAAAATGTGGAAGAATCCATAAAACTATGGGAAATTATATACAAGTCCACATTCTAGACCCATTTTCTAGATCCAATGATATGTAAGTGATATGATTGGTTGATAATTAGAAAAGATATAAGAGAGTATATTGCCTTAGATATCCTAATTGATTGCCACGTCATTGGGCTTGAAAAGTGGGTCTAATTTTTGGACTTGAATAGTAATGCTCTAAAACTATTATGATAGTCCTTGCTCCATCCTAAGAAGCATGGATAGGGTATGCGACACGATATGGACAAGTCGATTCAGCAATTTCAAAAAAATGCAAGACACAACAGTAGGGGGCATACACAGACTATATTTTTATTATATGTCATATATATGAATATAGCATTCAAAGATAATAAAATATATGTATATAACACAACTAATTTCTATAAATTTACATTATTTTTCTTTTATTTTTGTATTCTTAGATCTTTTGTTCACACATTTAATTAATTCATTTCATGTGTGTCTAAGCGATTGACAAGTGTGTCCTGCAAGTGCCCTGGTATAATAAATAAAAAAAAATTAAAAATAATTGGACAGATTAGGATGAGAGTCCAACACATGTTATGAAATGTCCAACATGGACACGCTATCTTCTTAGAAGTGCCCAAACTTCTTAGGCTCTAATTTTTCAGCAATTGATAAGTGTGTCCCTCAAGTGTCCTGGTATAATAAAAAAAAAATTAAAATTATAGTATACATTGGGATAAGAGTCCGGCACACGTTGGGAAATGTCCGACATGGACAAGTTACCTTCTTAGAAGTGTCCGTACTTCTTAGGCTCCTATTTTTCTTAGACAGGATAAAGACCCAATTTTTCTATTAGATTAAGCTGACTAGTTACCGTACTAAAAACTTAAAATTCAATATGGACAAATGTACACAACAAAAAAGACTAGGGACATATTTTGTGGAAACATACATGTTCTTCATTGTGAGTGTATGTCACTTCCAGGTTTCCACTTTCAGTAGCTGCCCACACCTACAACCAGGAAAAACCAAATCAACTAATGTCTCAATCTCACTAGGCGAATGAATGTCATAACCGACGAGGAGGAAAAACACAAACCTTTATTGTTTTATCCAAGGAACATGATAAAAGAAACTGATCCCAGCAAAGAACAGACATCACTACAGAAGTATGTTCTGACAGCGTCTGTACACATTGCAAAGTTTCAAGGCTCCATAACTGAAAGCAAGATAAGCAAGGCAAAAGAAAGCGGTAAGAAATGACAGAGCTCAAGTTAATAATAGAATGACATAAGTTCTAAGTGTTGGGATATATGCCATATCCCGCCAACGCAAACGGAAGCACATTCACGCACACACCAAAGAGAAAAATTAATCATATAGATTTACGTGGTTCGGCTCACATTTCCTACATCCACGAGAAAGAGAGCTTCCAATATGAATAAAATAAAGAATACATGTGAGATGACTAAAATACTCAAAAACTCACACCACTACCCGAATCCCATGCTCAAGGGTAGTTGAGCCCTTACTCACCCCGTGCCCACGGTATTTTTTCTCTCACCCCTTGCATCTCTATTTTTTCCCTCACCACTCACACGATCTCTCTCAAAGAAACCCTATAGTCCACATAACTATTTATAATAGTCTACCCATAAGAATCCTGTTCCATAAAATTAAGTAACCAAATCACTTACCCAAGAAAAGGTAACCAAATCCTACATATATTAGGTTTCCTAGTAGATTCCGAACTCTATTATCCTAACTCAAATACATGTATAAACCAACCTAACAACTGTAAGGGACCCACCGTGATCACATGAGTGGACTAATCCTAACACTAAGCACTGCTTAAAGAATTATTAGAAATAAATGATGCATGATGCATATCTCACTACAGCTGACTTACTCTTATAGAATGATCCATGGAACCAGAGTATAGCATATTAGCTCCAACAACTAATGTGACAACAGCAAGATTGTGACTCTTAAGGGTTGCAGCTGGTTCAAAGGTGTTAGCAGCTGCATTAAATCTCCATGCCAATATTGTGCCATCCTGCAACAGAAATTTATCGTTTTACCAAATGAAATATGTTAATACCAAAGAGAGAGGAAGGAGAAGCCAAAGCTAGAACAACCATGCAAGGGCTTTCCTAAGCAGGTTCCAAGTTACACAGCCAAAATTTTGATTCCAACAAAGCCTACATGGAGATGCAACGCCAACTTGTGAAATACTGAAAGCCCCAACATGGTAAGGTAGACTATGAGAATAAAACATTTTAGTTAATAGGATAATGCTCCACAACACAATCATAGTCAAAAGGTTTACCTGTGTGCCCGCAAAGAGCAAATCATTTCCCACAACCAGGGCATAGACTTGTCCAATAGGTCCAGTAAGACTCAGGTCAGTAGCCGTTTGGATATTCCATGCCTGCAGTATCACCATCAGACCCAAGTAGGTAAAATAATATTACACTCACACAACTAAGAAAAATGTGAAAAAGAACGAAAACAATGAACTAGTGAACTACAACTATTATCAACAGGGTGTAAAATATGCCGCCCACCTTACCTTGACAACATTTGGTATACCAACAAATACCCATGGGCCTTCACTGAGCATGCAACCTACTTCACCACCCAAATTAATCACCCCTGCGCACTGCAGAAAACACAGACATACCGCATAGTTTGCATGAATTCCAGTGCCCCCCATCAGGTTGACAAGAAAACTAAGGAAAACAAAATAAAATGAAATTTTATGGTCTTCTAATTTAGGATGATTGGGTAGAGTAATGCGTTCTTGATTCCAGTTTGAGTGTTGTAAAGGTATGCCCTTAGGCACGGTTAAGAATGTTCAAAAATATTATACATTCTTTATTACACGCACTTTCATACATACGTACAACACTTTTAGGCTTCTTAACAAAATCTTTTATTTTTTTTGCTTGCTTTATCAGCGAATGTTTTCAACCTTTTCCGACAAGGCCAGTGTTTCCATTCATTTGCTTCAAATACAGAAAACAATGTATAAAGGGACATCCAAACAGCATTGTACAAACTACCAAGTAGAGGTCTTGGTTGTTTCTTTATCCAAATATTTTGAATATGCAGAGGAGGTTTCTAGATTAAAAAAGAGAAAGAGAGAGAGAGGAACTAATTCACAAAATAAATACAGGAGATTAAGATAATAAAAAAAACCTGCCCAGATTGGCAGTCCCAAACCCTCACAGTCTCGTCCTTGCTCCCTGTATAAAGCTTATCTGATCCAGATGGCATAGTGATCCCGGTAACAACCTATTGAAAGAAAGAGTATTCAACCACTAAGAAGACCAAAAATCAACCAAAATAAATCAGAAAAACATAATCTTTTTGAAGGTTAACAAACCTAATAAACATAACACAGATAAACTAAACAAGTACCTAATAATTTAACAGATAGAAAGCCCAAAATAGACTCAAACTCAAAAAATTAACACTAATTTGATCATATATATGTATGAATAAGTTCATGGTTACCTTCTGGTGTCCCTCAAGCTGGGTCAATAGTGAAAAGCAATCGCCGGTACACCACGAATGCAAGTATCTACATTTATCCCCATAACTACAACTCCCTTGGACCCAGTAATTACAAACTTTTTCAGTTTTGACAATCTTACCGGCAACACCACCACCATGAGCTCGTCCCCAACTTGAAGAATTACCAAAATTATTGGGATTTCGACGGACCATTGGCTGATCATCAGCGAAGCCATGAGGCCGTTTCGACGATGCCGTGCCATTTTGCGGCCGCGGTAACTCTCTGTGCAAGTATGGGCATGGGAATCGATCGCACTTTCCCGCCCGCCAATGATAACAAACCTTCTGATTTCTGTTATCATTCGAAGGTCCGAGCCGCTGGAATACGCGCTTATTCCCTTCAACGTCCATAATTTATTGACTCTATATTTGATGTGTGTATAAAGATCACTCGATTCTTCGAGTGTTTGATTGGGAAGAATTGGACAGTGGTGCGCAGAGTCGAAACTAGAGTGTGCGAGTGATTAAAATATCGTGTAAATCTGATGTGATCATCACAATAAGTAATTCAGATCAATAGCTGATTGTACGGGAGAAGCTCGAGAGAGAGAGTCAGCGATTGAAGATTGCAGGTGATTTTGGGGTTAGGGTTTCGATAGACTGAATCAGAAACCCTAATTTTTGTTGCAGAGTTTTGGGTATATCTCTTTCTCGCTGGGGAAGAAGAACTGAAGAAATAAATTACTCCACGAGGGCTGCGATTTTAATTTTTTTATTTTTATTTTTTCTTTATCGGATCAGATGCGTACAATTTACGATCGTGTTAGCCCTTGCCACCCGTTTTAAATATTTTCGTGCTAGCCCTTGCTACCCGTTTTAAATATTTTCATGATTTTTCATGATATATTGATGTTTTGCATACGTTTTCGGTTTTTTTTTTTTTTTTTCTTTAAGAAATTATTAATAAAAGACTTCATGTTTAAGAAATTAATAAAAGACTTCATGCATAAATTCAAATTTAAATTTTTATTGCCCAATAATCCATAGCTTCTATTTTCACACACACATATTTAATAAACTCATTTTTATTATAATTTTATCTCTGAATAAAATTATTATTACGGAGATTTACACACAATTCAAATAAACACACATGTTCTCGATGCACATCTCACACTACATATTGCTGAAGCTCCACACTCCATTCTTCCACACTCAGTTGGCTAAACCTCTACACTCACCATCATCCTTTCAAACCCTTTATTGTTGGTTTTCATTCATTAGTTTACACACAAAACACCCTCATTCTTCATTCTTACTTTTTCATTAGTTCACACACTAAACCTTATCCCCATTCATCATTGTTATGGAAGATTTCCCTTCTGAAAATTTAGATTTTCATAAACAAATAACAATTTATGAGTTAGATAACTAAAAAAATGTGAGTTTTTCTTGGGTGAATAGAAAATGTGAGTTTTGCTATATAAAAATCATAACTTTTTTTTTTTTAACTTCTTTCGAAAAACCAGGGTCGAAATGTATTAATCTATTCGATAGTCTATTACCGAATTAATTAGTTAATTTTGGAAGTTGTATTCCGAACTAAATTAAAATATTCGACATGCAACTTCTGAACCATGAAAATAAATTCGAACACCTACATTCGAACAATAGCAGTTTTTTTTGACATTGTGCTTCCAAATGAAGTAAAAGTTTTGTTTTTTCATTTTATATTCCAAAATTGTAAATTTCATACTAAGGGGCTGTTTGGGATGAATTATATAAGTGCACTTTTTTACTTTTTGGCTAAAAAAACAGAAAAAAAAAATATGTATGTTTGAAATAACTTTTTGACTTTTTACGAAAAAATGTGTATTAAAATATTGTATTAACTAGCAAAATTACCTTCCTACCTTTTGTTGCACCGTGTTGGGTTTCATGCAGTGCACTGTGTTGCACTGTGATGGTATTAAAATATTGTTTTGGCCCGTGAAGTGTACTGTGTTGCATTGTGATGGTATTAAAATATTATTTGGGTTTTATGCAATGCACTGTGCTGCACAGTGCTGCACAGTTTTTTTTTTATTTTTAAATATGTCCAATGATGTATGTAAATAGTGTTAACTTTTTTGCTTTTTCAATGTCTTTTTGGCTTTTTTAGGGGATGTCAAACACTTACTAAATTTGTAGTTTGAAATAGAAAAATTGTTTTTATAATGCCATTTCAAATTTGTAATATTATACAAAACTTGCAGGAATATGCCTCAACTCAAGGAAGTGAGGTTCGCGCGGATGGTGTGTTGGGTTACACTATTCAATTCACAGCTGAACAGGTTTACTCTACAAAATTATAATGTCTGTGCTTTGAATTGTTCAACAAATGTAAATGTTTGATAATATTTATTTGACTTTGTAGGTGTTCAAAAGTAAGGATGAATTGTTCAACTGGGCACGTGAAGTTGGAAAAAGAAATAGTTTGGTCATTGTAATCAAAACATCAGACTATGGTGGAGAGAAAAAAAGACCCAGGATGTATCTTGCTTATGAGAGGAGTGGCCAATATAGAGTAAGAAAGAAGTTAAAAGATGATGGCAACAATACATCAAGAATAAACTATACGAAAAAGTGTGGTTGTCCTTTTGATATGAGGGCTCACACGTTCACCACAAATGATGAATGGACATTGACCGTAGTACGCGGATTGCATAACCATCCACCTGCGGAGCACCTTGAGGGACATTCATATGCGGGGAGGCTGTCAAAGGATGAGAAATCATTGTTAATAGATATGTCAAAAAGCATGGTTAGGCTAAAAGAGATCCTAGTAACCTTGAAACAGAATTCCCTCAATGTAAGCACACTTAAAACCATTTACAATGTACGTCATTGAAACAAGGTGGTAAAGAGAGCTAGAAGATCACAGATGCAAGACTTATTGGGTGAATTGGCTAAGTATAATTACATTGAGCGCCATCGATGTGAAAAGTCCACGATGACTGTGACAGACTTGTTCTGGGCATATCCTTCCAGTTTGGACTTATTTTTGTCTTTCCCACATATATTGATTATGGGTTGCACATATAAAACCAACAAATATCGTTTTCCTCTTCTTCAAATTGTGAGAGTGACATCAATGAAATGACTTTCTTGGTAACTTTCGCATACTTATAGTCTGAGAGGGCTGATAACTATGCGTGGGTGTTAGCTACATTGCATGATGTCATGGATGGTTCTGTTTATCGGCGATTATTGTCACTAACAGAGAGCTAGCCTTGATGAATGCCATAGAGAAGATATTTTCGAGTGCCAAACATTTATTATGCCGTTGGCATATTAGTAAGAATGTATTGACCAAATGCAAGAAAATGTTTGAGATAAAATAGAAATAGAAGAAGTTCAACCATGAGTGGAACTCTTTAATTTATTCATCTTTTGAAATTCAATACGATAAGCGTCTTCAATCATTACTTAAGGAATTCAGTAGTTATCTCGATGCAGTCAATTATGTCATGGATACTTGGTTGGTTCCTTACAAGGAAAAATTTGTTGCGGCATGTACAGACACGTGTATGTATTGTGGCAATGTTACAACCAACTGGTAAGATTACTTTTATTCAATAAGTTATTAATAAGTACATTGAGTGCCATGTACTTGATTTTGATTTGACTTACATTGAAATGAACAGGGCTGAGAGTGCATTGTTGGAAATGGTTTGGAAAAATCTGGGTTTATAATAGATTTTTTCCGAACTTTGGTCTATTATTTAGGTGGGACCCGTGCGTCATTTTTCGTAGGTCAAAGTGGTAACGCGTTCTATGCCGCGTTGTGATTCACGTGGTATATTTGGTTGCTCAAAACCATTACCGAGTGAATGGAAAATTGAAGCCAAAGTATGCTCCATGGAAATGGAGTTTTGGTGGAAAATCCTTAAAGGATTGAATAAGACTTGTCCCACATTGATTTGGTGGGAAGTTTTGAATGGGTTTATAAGGCATGGGTTTGGTATTTTGGGTGTGCCCAAGGGTACCCAAGTGTTTTAGAGAAGAAGGTTATGGGCAAAATGGGTTAGACCCATTGGACCCAAAAATCACCACACACACGCGCGCGCCGCTGCCGCTGTCCGTCCAGTCGGGCTGAGCCTGGGCTTGGGCGCGGGTGCGTGGTGTGTGGTTGGGTTGGGCTTGTTCGGCCCAATACCTATCTTTTTTAGCCAAAAACATTTGATTTTAATCTTATTTTTTGGTAAAATAAAATCCAGAATTCAAATTAAAATCGAAAATAAACTGGTCCGATTTTTTGCTGTACACCCAAACAGGTCCCTTCCGTTTTTTGAACCCAACAGAATCTGTTTAAATTCAAAGGCGAACAGTTTTCAACCTATCCAAACAGTGCCTATCTGTTTAAATTGAACAGGTTTTGCACCTGTTTAATTCAAAACTAACAGCCACAATTTTGCCTATAAATAGACTAGCCCCCCATTTTGATTACTACACCAATTTTCGTACTTCATCTTCTGCTATAAATCTCTGCATTTTGCTGCATTTAATTTCTGAAAGAAATAGTGTAAACACTTAGTGTGCTCGTTAGGTAAACAATTTTGTAGTGCTACTATTGTTTGTAGTTGATCATTTCATCCTGGAAGATAGACGTCCACATTCTGAAAGCACCGTGGAAAGGGCGAATCTATCTTAAGGACACAGTGTCAAACACTGGACTTGATCAGATATTCATTAGAAAAAATTAATCAAGTAAGTTGTTTAATTTATTATTCTGTTTTATTTGTTTATTAAATCAGATTTTAATTTTATTTTTGTAACAAAATAAAATCTATTTTTACTTATATATTTATTTATTTCTAGTTTGATTTTTGTAATCAAATAAATTCTCTCATTTCCTTTATTTCTTTATATTCTTGTTATTGTTTAGTACACAACATAATTTAATCTTTTTAAATACAATGATGATTGTCCAGCAATCTTAAGACAGAATCGTTTTGGTATCTTCATTGTATTTAATTTTCTGTGATGTCATAAAGACATATTTTGGTTTGAAAAACAAATAGTGTTTTATGCTATTTGACAGATAGTAATAATATACTATCTCTTTTCTTTGACAACTAGTAGTAATATACTGGTGTCATTAACAATTGTAGAACATTAATTTGTGTTACAGAAAATTATTGGTATTTTATTTTTCTAGTTTTAGTAACAAGGAAAATAAATTTATTTTGTATAATAATTTATTTTCTGGCTTGAGTAACTAGAAAATTAATTTGTGTTTTAATTTTTTCTGATTTTTGTGATCAGAAATTATGGCTACTGCAACTGAAACTGCAACTGGAAGTGGTACTCCGATTGTTACACCAACACCGGTCCCTATACAGAACCACGTTCATGTACCAATAAATCATGGAGAAAAATGGGAAAAATTTAACGGTACTGAGTTTAAGAGATGGCAGTAGAAGATGCTGTTCTATTTTACAACTCTTAATTTGACCCGGTTTCTCCATGAAGAGGCTCCAGCACTTAAAGAGGGTGAAAGTGATGGGCAAGTTGTTGTCGCTGTAGATGCTTGGAAACATTCAGATTTCCTGTGCAGAAACTACATCCTTAATGGCCTTGACAATATGCTGTATAATGTATACAGTCCTCTGAAAATAGCAAAAGAATTGTGAGATTCTTTGGATAAGAAATACAAGACAGAGAATGCCGGCACGAAGAAATTTGTCGTCGGTAAATTTCTAGACTTCGTTATGGTAGACTCCCAAACGGTAATTTCTCAAGTTCAATGTTTTCAATTAAT